ATTAGTGTAGAAATGGTATAAATAATATCAACGCACTTGTGAAAGAATATTAAACTCACCAGTTGTGTGTTGGACGCATGGCTTGATTTATTTACTTTTGAACTTTGGCAAAAATCGAACATTTTTGCTACTTTGAGCTCAATTTCAAGGTACTTTTCATTGTGAAACCAATAAAAATAATCTCAATTTCTGTAATATGTCTTCTATTCTATAAAATGAGACCAGGAAAACTAGAATACAGCCATAAATTGCATATGAAAATACACTGCGAAGTCGCTGTTTTAAACCCAAAACACGGTCAAAAAAATTTTTTTTCTCATCATGCACTGTGTGCTGCAGGATTCTTTTTATACTGCGCACACTGACCACATAGACCCATTCTTTCATATGTAGGCCTACCACGCTTTCTCTCGCTAGATTTGAAAGCGCTAGAATTTATGCATATGAAGACGAATTCTATGGCTTTGATCAGTTAGTGACCGAAAAGAATGACCAGGATATCGATAATAGTGCAGAAAACCCTGACGATCCTCAACCTTCTACCTCTGGTGTGGGCACTCGTGACTCACGGTCGGTTGTTCCTCATCGCAAGAGAAAACTAATATTTTCGCGTGGCCAGACCTCTGACTTCAGTAATGATGATGATAGTGACGTGGACTGTGATTTTATTGAGCTCGACGATCAATCGAGTAGTGATAGTGAGGAATCATATTCACCAGTGAAGCGTCGGTATGTTCGCCGCCGCATGCGCTCGGGTAGTGTACTCTATGCTGTGCCCAGGGGACGGAGTACATCCCGGAGTACATCCCGTGGCCCAACACCAGTTTTAGGTAGTGATAGTGAGGATGATGTGGTTACACTTGGCATGGATAGACCACAGGCATCAGTGGATGGTGTTAGTGGTGATGGTAGTGGCACCGCCATGCGTGACAAGCCAGGCCACGCTGGGACCCACGCTGCTGACTCGTCAGTTCAAGGACAAAGCGGAGCGCCAGCCACCAGCCCACCACAACCACAACCACCCTCACAACCAGCCTATGATGTCCAGTATCCACCAGCAAACCGTATGTGGGATTGGCAGCAAAATCCCAATTTTGTTCCCAAGCCTCACCACTTTGATGATTCTCAAAGTGGAATTCTACCTACTTGTCCCCTTGGAACCATGGCCAATGAACTGGAATTCTTTGAATTATTCTTTGACCAGCCATTGATGGAAATTATTGTCAGGGAAAGTAATAAGTATTTTGAGTACACCATGGCAAATACGATCTTATCACCACAGTCAAGACTACACAGGTGGAAAGAGACGACTGTTGCAGAAATGTATTTGCTTTTTGCAACAATAATGCTTATGCCTCACGTCTATAAGCATAATATAAAAGCATACTGGTCCACAGATCGGCTAATTTCTACCCCGGTCTTCAGTGAAATCATACCAGTGAACAGGTTTATCTTACTCTTACGTATGTTGCACTTCTCTGACAAAACCAGGCCTGACAGAAGTGACAGGTTATACAAGATTAGAAATGTTTTCATGTATCTCAAACAAAAGTTCAGGATATACTTTTATCCATTCAAGAATCTTGTAATTGACGAGTCTTTGATTTTGTTCAAAGGTAGACTGTCATTCAAGCAGTATATACCGAGCAAGAGGAAACACTTTGGTATAAAACTGTTTGTACTCTGTGATTGTGACAGTGGCCTGGTGTTGGATATTGTTGTATTCACGGGTAGTAAAACATTGAAAGATACCAAGATGTTATTGGGTATCTCAGGTGACGTAGTGAGAAACATGATGGCACCTTATCTTGGTAAGGGGCATACATTATATACCGATAACTGGTACACAAGCCCATTACTCAGCGATTTCATGCGAGTGAACAAGACAGATGTGTGTGGCACAGTGCGTTCTAATCGTAAACATATGCCCAGGCTCAACGCAGGTGCTCGTGGTGATGACGTGCAGGTGTTTACTGCCAATGACATCATGGCATTACGGTGGCATGACAAACGAGATGTCACATTGTTGACAACCATTCACCGTAATGAAATGCAAAACAGTGGCAAAGTTGATCGAGTGACTAATGAACGTATTCGAAAACCAGTGTCAGTGATTGATTATACACAAAACATGCGCTTGATTGACAAGTGTGACATGCAGATTGGTTTTGTTGACTGTGTTCGTAAGAGTTACAAGTGGTACATGAAACTTTTCTTCCATCTCATGGACATTTCAATGCTCAATGCATATAATATGTACCAAATAAAGACTGGCAACAGACCACTGTATGGTGAATTTTGTTTGTCTGTTGTCAGACAACTCATAATGAAGTACCAGGTAACAACACCTGCTATACAACATGGTCCTCGAATTCCTCAGGATATACCCAAGCGTTTGAGGAGAGAAGGTGATCATTTCATAATACAGCTTCCTTCAACTCAGAAGAAATTTGCTCAGAAGAGATGCATTGTCTGTGCACAAACAAAACTACGGCAACAAAGACACAAAGACACTCGGTTTATGTGTGAGGAATGTAAGGTGCCTCTGTGCATGGTGCCTTGATCAAGGGATTCCACAAGCTCCAGCAGTTTTAAAACCATGTCCAATGATTGTAAATATGTAAATATATGATAGAACATTAGTATTATACAAGATTTGTGCATGTTTATTGTAATAAACAACAGTGGTAAACAATAATATGATAATAACTTTTGTGCGGTTATTGTGTTCAATACAGTGAGTTTATATATATACATTATATACAGTATTGGTCTCTCAGGCCCCAAATGTTAGTAGGAATAGAAAAAAATTGGAAAAGAAAAGAAAAAACAACTAAAACCACAAAATAATGTAATGCGCGTATGTGGAATTCGTCGATGTTGCCGCCACCACATCATTTTTGACAAACTTCTTGGCACTGTATCTCGGTAAGTACTGATCAGATTTTTTTTTGTCTTATTACCTTCACAAAAATATGCTCTTTAATTCTGTAAGAAAAAATAATAATTTTTTTTTTTTTTTTTTTCAAAATTTCTTGGACACTGGAGCACCACTTCAGATTTTGGCCTTGGACCCTGAAAGGGTTAATAGATAGAATTATTTTTTATATCCTTAAAAAAGCCAACACAGGAGCTTTCAGTTTGTGAAGGAATCAACAGTGAAAGGCTTAAGCATGATTTGTTCTGATTAGGGGTATGTCAAAGTATTAGTATCAGTAGGTATTGGTCAGTTTGTACAGTATTAGTACAGTGGTACCTCGAGTTATGAACTTAATTCTTTCCAGAAGGCTGTTTGAGTGCCGCTGCTGAACGAATTTGTTCCCATAAGGAGTGATGTAAACTAGATTAGTCTGTTTCAGACCCCCAAAAATACACTTACGTAAATTGTTCGGGTTGGGAGCTGTTCAAAACTCGAGGTACCACTGTACCAGTATTGGTGGGTATTAGCTAATTTTGATGGTATCAGTATCTCTAAAATTGAGTACACTGGTACCTTGGTATACATCCTTAATCCATTCCAGGACCTTGGACTTATACCAAACAGGACGTATACAAAACAAATTTTCCCATAAGAAATGTAGGGAAAATTATTAATCTGTTTCCATGAAAAAAAAATCCTATTGTTATTGGCATATTATACATTGATGGGGTTGTATAAAATAATTTAAACACTACTTAATACTAAAATATGTAATTTAAACACTGCTCAATACTAAAATACACACACAAATACAAAAGAATTAGATGCAATAAATGCAAATTTAACTTCACTTTACTTTGCTGAAAAAGAGTCGAGTGCCTACTAGGATAGTGCTGAGGTGGGAGGAGGAGGAAATGTTATTGTTTGGAAGGAGAGTCCCCTTCTCTTTTCTGTCTCTTTTTCCCTATTTAGACCTGGTTGAAGTTCACCAGGTTTGACCTTTACTAAAGATCTGTCCAAAGAACTTTGCTTCTGCCGTCTCCTTGGGATGTTTCAGAAATGTGACATTGTCTGGTCATTCCAGACAATGCTATTACGGCTTGTTTGGGCTTTGTTGGAGTGGTACTTCCCTGCAAAGTTTTTGATGTCCATCCATTTGGCAAAGATTTCCTTGAATAATGAAGTAGGGGCTTCCTCTGTCTCCTCTTCCGAGCCTGAAGAGAGTGCATCCATCTTGGACTTGAGCTCCTCCTTCTCAAATTCTACAGCTCCTCAGTGATCAGGTCTTCCCTGTGCCCCTCCACTAACTCCTCCACATCACCATCACTCGCATCCAGACCCATGGACCTGCCCAGAGAGACAATATCCTCCACTATAGACACAGCCTCAAAGCAATGGGCATAGTGACGCTAGTGGGCAATAGTGGCTTTGTCTCGAGAGAGAGGTAAACAAGGGTAGCGCTAGGTGTCGTGACTCATTTTGACCCATACAAGTTCTAGTATGCGAGTCATATTCCAGACAAAGGTTATATACCAAGCAAAAATTTTTGCATCCAAACAGGACATATACATACCAAGCTGGACTTATTCCAAAGCAAATGTATACCAAGGTACCACTGTATTGGTATTGGCAAAATACACTGTATTTAGTATTGTCCCATCTCTAGTTCTGATAAAATGGTTCAGTGTATGACTTGAAAATAGCAGTATGTAATCACCAAAAAAAAAAAAACTTTTTTTTTTCTTATATTAAGATAAAGGCATTTTCTTATTTTGAGGTAAAGGCATTGCACTTGCCTTTATTATATAGTCTGGCCATGGAAACAGTACATTTGAGTAATAATTTTTGAGGTATGTTACTAAATGATTTAAAAATAAAAATTACCATTATGCATTTAAGTGTACATAAATTTTTTATGGAAGTACATTATACCTGTGTCTCAAAAATTCTGTTTACTATCCATACTTTAACACTGATGTAAGAGTATATATTACTTGGAAAATATTTTGATTAATCTAGAGTTTTTTTTTTTTTTTTTTTTTTTTTTTCTCTTTTTTTTCTTCTTTTTTTTTTTTTTTAGATTCCACGATGGGGTACACGCATACTAACCAGCCTTTATGTAATGGAAGGGACAGAAAACTTGGAAGATGAAGTTTTTCTGAAGAGACATACCAAACCTGAGCAAGATGAAAAGAGACGCAAGAGGTAATGGACTAATATGCACAGCCTTTCAACCTTTAAACTGTCCAAACGTAGATCTACGTTCACATGCGTAGCACTCCGACCTTTATTTTCTCCATTTGAAAGCATGTAAAAAAAAAACGTAGATCTACGTTCGGAGCCCCTTGCACGTGAACGTAGATCTGCGTTTGGACAGTTTAAGGCTAAATTGTTAATTTATTATACAGTGCCACACAGCACTTTCTTGTGAATAGCAATCTTCCAAGGAAAATAAGTAAAATAATAAGCAACAGGTAAATTTTATAATGTGTACTTAACACTTGGTTCACATTTATCTTTAAACTCTTGTGTATTTACACTTATTTTCTTGCATCCTGGGTTCCTGGGCCTTTCTGGAATATTAATTTTGCCAGACCAATAGAGGTCATGTAATAATATAGTAATTCAACAATACACCCCTGACTTACTATTATACACCTTGTGTGTCTAAGCACCATGGACTATGAGAAACTTAAACATTAATATATTGTATATTAATTACTGTGCAGTACTTACAAAGAATGTTGCAATACCACTAATCACAAAAGTGGAAATTGAGGATTGTCATCTGGATTACTATTTCATAGTGGTTGATGATTGCATGATAGATTTGTGATGTTAAAGAAAGGATATCTAGGGCACTTGTGGTTGAAATCACAGAATTTTCAGCTGCAAAGGGTTGATGAGGTAGTTAGATGTATAAAGAGGATGGAGAGGGACAGGATGACAAAGAGGGTGCATAAATCTGGGATGAAAGGTAAGAGGTGATGGTCATCCTAGGAACAGTTGGAGAGAGGGTTTTAGGGGTTGGTCATCCAGCAGGCTTATGTGAGCAAGTTAGATAGGAGTGAATGAAGACAAGTGTTTTTTCTTTATGATTTAACCTGCTTCTGGAGTGAGCAAGGTAATATGAAGGGATTCAGGGAAACCAGGTAGCTGGACATAAGTTCATCTAACTTATGGAAGAAGGTTGGGGATGTTGCAGTTAGGGGAAAGTGAAGTTGATTACAGTGTCAGCACACTTCTGGTAAAAGAGTATTTGAAGGAGTAATGGTAATTGTGTTTCTTCTTTTGAGTTGCCTTTGGTGGGAGATAGTCATTGAGGTAAAATAAAAGTCATGTCAAGCAAGCCTGTTTATCTTAGGGATATCATTCATTATATGAATTCCTTCAGTAAATAATTCTTCCAGGGGCCATATTTACAATTTCCTCTTAATATTATACCTCTCTTACATTCAGTTATACTATTCTCTAAAAAGTGTTCCTAATTTCATCTCCTGTTATTGCATGATTTAATATTGTAACCCCTTTCTCCCATAATTTGTTAAAAATTAGAAAAAAATATTTAGTCTCTAAAATATTTAAGTTATTTTAGTACTATATTGTACTGGAATTTCCTTTCCTACTTGTTCTCCAAGTTAGGAAATTCAGCTTTTGTCCTTTATCCCATATACAGTGGACCCCCGCTTTACGATCAGCTCCCAGTGCGACCAATTATGTAAGTGCGTTTGTACGTGTATGTTTGGGGGTCTGAAATGGACTAATCTAATTCACAATATTCCTTATGGGAACAAATTCGTTCAGTAATGGCACCTGAACATACTTCTGGGATGAAATAATATCGTAAGGCGGGGGTCCACTGTATATTCTGTTTGCTCAGATAGAGAATAGGTGTTCGATGATTATTGGTCCTCTACCACTTATGCCCAAGACTTTCAGCACATTTATGAAAGAGTTTCTTTTTTGAGGACTTAAATTCCTGCTTCTCTACACAGTGTCTATACAGAAACACAAAATTTGTTCAATTACTTTATTTATGAGCATATGCATAATACAGTAGGACCTCCATATCCACAGGGGATAAGTTCCATGGACCTGCCGTGGATACCGCAACTACGGATAGTAGCAAACTCTATATATAAGTCCTATACATACCTATTATAAAGTTTAATTGATAAATTATGCACAGTTAGTAGAGAATTATCACTTTTTCACTGATGGGAATCATTTCACAGCTTCTCTTAGGCTTTGAAGAACTGCCAGCTTCTCTACTTTGTGCTCTGGGGTCATTATTATGTAAAATTAAGAGGTATTTTTGAGCCACAGTAAACCATAGATGACTGAATCTGTGGATACCGAATCAGTGGTTACATGAGTTCTACTGTATTTTATAATTTACTTTGATACAGGTGGGATTTACAGAGGATGAGAGAACAACGTCATTATGAGCGTCTAAGGGAACGGTATGAAGGTAGACAAAATCCATGTGAACCAGAGGTATCTGGGTACCATTCGTTATGGCCAAATCCTGAATCAGCTGTTTACTTACATGTTGATGACTGTCTCCCTGTATGTGCCTTTGGTCAACCCATGGCCAGGATACCTCCTCAGTGAGTAATTTTGTGTGGCATTGCAGTTTTAATTCATATACGGGATAGTAAATATAAAACTTCAGCAAAATTGCCTATTACTTTCTGGCTTAACAGGCTTGTCTATACTTAGGTTTTTTGTGAAGTTACCCACTTTTTTTTTTTTTTAAGATTAAATACAGCCACTCCTCACTTAATGATGGAGTTCCGTTCCTAACACGACATCAGTAAATGAATTCATTGGTAAGTGAGGAGCATACTATAATGGTAGTGGGTTTGTGTCAACCGTCTTTGATATTGTTTTAATGTTACCTTTGCAACATTTATAACATTTCTGGTATATTTTTAACTGTTTATACAGCATTGTACTGTATATTGTAATAAACAAAATTGAGGAAATCAGCTTTAATTTGCATTATTTAGGTATGCATACTGGTCATAGAGCCTGTCGTAAGTCTGAGTCGTCGGTAAATGAGTACATTGCTAAGTTAGGAGAGGCTGTATAATCTTATTTTCCTCAGAGTGATAGCTTTGGAGATATTGTAGGAGCATCCAGAATATGTATACTGTATACAGTATTCAATATATATGGGAATTTACATTTTCAGCAATTTTTTTATTTTTTTGGCAAGTTATCTCACTTATTCTTCAAAATTCACAGAAACCTAGAACTATGAAATACTCAAGAAAACTTAATTCTGAATTGTCATTTATTATCTCTCAGTTGGCACTTATAATCTTCAGGATTAGTAAATTATGTATTTCATAATCAACTCTTTTTTTTTTTTTTTTTTTTCATTGCAGTAACTAGATACATTTAGGATCAGGAATTGTTGTGCAGTGACTAAAATAAACACAGTGACCTAACTACTACTATGCTACTACAAGTACCATACTGTTCTACTACTACTACCATACTGTTCTTCTAGTACTACTATACTGTTCTATTATTACTGCTGTACTGTTCTACTACTACTATACTGTTCTGCTGCTATACTGTTCTACTATAGGTTGGCCATCACTAATCCGGCATCATTGGGACCTGTAGTGTGCCGGATTAGTGAGTGTGCCGGATTACAGAGCGGTTAGGTTAGAATACACATAATTAACCTATCAATAGAGTCTGCTACGTGTTCCTCATTTTCATCACTTCTTTCTCCTCCACTGGCTTGCTGCTGTCGATTTACAACCATCTGCACAATTTCTGAGTCAGTATAATGAAATTTGAAATATGCTAGCTGAAACTAGTGGCATATTACTGATTCGGATTAGTGATGTGCCGATTACTTACTTATGTTCTACTACCAATAAGTTCTATTACTACTATACTGTCTCTACTATATATGTTTACACTACTTTTACTCTTTCTACTACTGGCTTACTGTTCTATTTACTATACCACTACAATGTTCTAGTACTACATATACTGATCTTCTAACAATTTACTGAATTTATACACAAATGTTCTACACTACTATACTGTTCTACTAATACTGTTCTACTACTACAATAATGTTCTACTACTACATACTGTTCTACTACTACTATACTGTTCTACTACTACTATACTATCTACAATACGGGTTCTATACTAATATACTGTTCTACTACTACAAACTGTTTACTATAAATACTGTTCTACTACTATACTGTTCTACTACAATACTGTTCTACTACTACAATACTTTCTACTATACTGTTCTACTACTACATACTACTACTATACTGTTCTACTACTACATACTGTTCTACTACTATTTGTTCTACTAATACTTACTACTACAAAATACTGTTCTACCTAATACTACTACTACTAAACTGTTCTACTAAAATACACTACTATACTGTTTCATACTAAATACTACTACTACTATACTGTTCTACTAAACTACTACTATACTGTTCTACTAATTACTTACTACTAATATACTGTTCTACAATATACTACTAAAACTGTTCTACTAATACTACTACTACTATACTGTTCTACTAATACTACTACTACTATACTGTTCTACTAATACTACTACTATACTGTTCTACTAATACTACTACTACTATACTGTTCTACTAATACTACTACTACTATACTGTTCTACTAATACTACTACTACTATACTGTTCTACTAATACTAGTTCTATACTGTTCTACTAAACTACTACTACTATACTGTTCTACTAATACTACTACTACTATACTGTTCTACTAATACTACTACTAGTATACTGTTCTACTAATACTAGTGCTATACTGTTCTACTAATACTACTATACTGTTCTACTAATACTACTACTAGTATACTGTTCTACTAATACTACTACTAGTATACTGTTCTACTAATACTACTACTACTATACTGTTCTACTAATACTACTATACTGTTCTACTAATACTACTACTAGTATACTGTTCTAATACTACTACTATACTGTTCTACTAATACTACTACTACTATACTGTTCTACTAATACTACTACTACTATACTGTTCTACTAATACTACTACTACTATACTGTTCTACTAATACTACTACTACTATACTGTTCTACTATATATACTACTATTTTGTTCTACTAATACTACTACTACTATACTGTTCTACTAATACTACTATACTGTTCTACTAATACTACTATACTGTTCTACTAATACTACTACTACTATACTGTTCTACTAATACTACTATACTGTTCTACTAATACTACTACTAGTATACTGTTCTACTAATACTACTATACTGTTCTACTAATACTACTATACTGTTCTACTACTACTATTATGCTGTTCTACTACTACTACTATACTGTTCTACTAATACTACTACTACTATACTGTTCAACTAATACTACTACTATACTGTTCTACTAATACTACTACTGCTATACTGTTCAACTAATACTACTACTATACTGTTCTACTAATACTACTACTACTATACTGTTCTACTAATACTACTACTACTATACTGTTCTACTACTATACTGTTCTACTAATACTACTACTACTATACTGTTCTACTAATACTACTACTACTATACTGTTCTACTAATACTACTACTACTATACTGTTCTACTACTATACTGTTCTACTAATACTACTACTACTACTATACTGTTATACTATATACTACTACATACTGTCTACTAATACTACTAAACTACTATACTGTTCTACTAATACTACTACTACTATACTGTTCTACTAATACTACTACTACTATACTGTTCTAATAATACTACTACTACTATACTGTTCTAATAATACTACTACTACTATACTGTTCTACTAATACTACTACTATACTGTTCTAATAATACTACTACTACTATACTGTTTCTACTAATATCTACAACTATACTGTTCTACTAATACTACTACTACTTCTACATACACTACTACTAATGTTCTACTAATACTACTACTTTTACTGTTCTACTAATACTACTACTACTATACTGTTCTACTAATACTACTACTACTATACTGTTCTACTAATACTACTACTATACTGTTCTACTAATACTACTACTACTATACTGTTCTAATACTACTATACTGTTCTAATAATACTACTACTACTATACTGTTCTACTAATACTACTACTACTATACTGTTCTACTAATACTACTACTACTATACTGATCTACTACTACTACTACTATACTGTTCTACTAATACTACTACAGTGGACCCCCGCCTAACGATCAGCTCCCAACTCGACCAATTATGTAAGTGTATTTTTGTAGGTGCTTTTGTAGGTGTATTTTTGGGGGTGTGAAACGGACTAATCTAATTCACAATATTTCTTATGGGAACAAATTCGGTCTATAACAGCACCCAAACAGACTTCTGGATTGAAATAATATCGTTAGGCGGGGGTCCACTGTACTACTATACTGTTCTACTACTACTATACTATTCTGCTAATACTACTATACTGTTCTACTAATACTACTACTACTACTACTATACTGTTCTACTAATACTACTATACTGTTCTACTAATACTACTATACTTTTTATTTTTTTTCTACTAATACTACTTACTGTTCTACCAAATTTTTACTAACTACTGTACTGTTCTACTAATACTATACTGTTCTACTAATACTACTATACTGTTCTAATAACTATACTGTTCTACTAATACTACTATACTGTTCTACTAATACTACTATACTGTTCTACTAATACTACTATACTGTTCTACTAATACTACTATACTGTTCTAATACTACTATACTGTTCTACTAATACTACTATACTGTTCTACTAATACTACTATACTGTTCTAATACTACTATACTGTTCTACTACTACTACTATACTGTTCTACTAATACTACTATACTGTTCTACTAATACTACTATACTGTTCTACTAATACTACTATACTGTTCTAATACTACTATACTGTTCTACTAATACTACTATACTGTTCTACTAATACTACTATACTGTTCTACTAATACTACTATACTGTTCTAATACTACTATACTGTTCTACTAATACTACTATACTGTTCTACTAATACTACTATACTGTTCTAATACTACTATACTGTTCTACTAATACTACTATACTGTTCTAATACTACTATACTGTTCTACTAATACTACTATACTGTTCTACTAATACTACTATACTGTTCTACTAATACTACTATACTGTTCTAATACTACTATACTGTTCTACTAATACTACTATACTGTTCTACTAATACTACTATACTGTTCTACTAATACTACTATACTGTTCTAATACTACTATACTGTTCTACTAATACTACTATACTGTTCTACTAATACTACTATACTGTTCTAATACTACTATACTGTTCTACTACTACTACTATACTGTTCTACTACTACTACTATACTGTTCTACTAATACTACTATACTGTTCTACTAATACTACTATACTGTTCTACTAATACTACTGTACTGTTCTACTAATACTATACTGTTCTACTAATACTACTATACTGTTCTACTAATACTACTATACTGTTCTACTAATAATACTGTACTGTTCTACTAATACTATACTGTTCTACTAATACTACTATACTGTTCTAATACTACTATACTGTTCTACTAATACTACTACTACTACTACTATACTGTTCTACTAATACTACTACTACTACTATACTGTTCTACTAATACTACTATACTGTTCTACTAATACTACTACTACTACTACTATACTGTTCTACTAATACTACTATACTGTTCTACTAATACTACTATACTGTTCTACTAATACTACTATACTGTTCTACTAATACTACTACTACTACTACTATACTGTTCTACTAATACTACTACTACTACTACTACTATACTGTTCTACTAATACTACTATACTGTTCTACTAATACTACTACTACTATACTGTTCTACTAATACTACTATACTGTTCTACTACTACTACTATACTGTTCTACTAATACTACTATACTGTTCTACTACTACTACTACACTGTTCTACTAATACTACTATACTGTTCTACTAATACTACTATACTGTTCTACTACTACTACTATACTGTTCTACTAATACTACTATACTGTTCTAATACTACTATACTGTTCTACTACTACTACTACACTGTTCTACTAATACTACTATACTGTTCTAATACTACTATACTGTTCTACTACTACTACTATACTGTTCTACTAATACTACTATACTGTTCTACTACTACTACTACACTGTTCTACTAATACTACTATACTGTTCTACTAATACTACTATACTGTTCTACTAATACTACTATACTGTTCTACTAATACTACTATACTGTTTTACTAATACTACTATACTGTTCTACTAATACAAACTATACCGTTTTACTACTACTCTACTGTTTTTACTACTACTACTCTACTGTTTTACTACTACTACTATACTGTTTTACTACTACTACTCTACTGTTTTACTGCTACTACTCTACTGTTTTACTACTACTACTCTACTGTTTTACTACTACTACTCTACTGTTTTACTACTACTACTCTACTGTTTTACTACTACTACTCTACTGTTTTACTACTACTACTATACTGTTTTACTACTACTACTACTCTACTGTTTTACTACTACTACTACTATACTGTTTTACTACTACTACTCTACTGTTTTACTACTACTACTCTACTGTTTTACTACTACTACTCTACTGTTTTACTACTACTACTCTACTGTTTTACTACCCTACTGTTTTACTACTACTACTCTACTGTTTTACTACTACTACTCTACTGTTTTACTACTACTACTCTACTGTTTTAATAACTACTACTCTACTGTTTACTACTACTACCCCTACTGTTTTACTACTACTACTATACTGTTTTACTACTACTACTACTTACTGTTTTACTACTACTAACTCTACTGTTTTACTACTACTACTCTACTGTTTTACTACTACCACTATACTGTTTTACTACTACTACTCTACTGTTTTACTACTACTACTCTACTGTTTTACTACTACCACTATACTGTTTTACTACTACTACTCTACTGTTTTACTACTACTACTCTACCATTTTACTACTACCACTATACTGTTTTACTACTACTACTCTACTGTTTTACTACTACTACTCTACTGTTTTACTACTACTACTCTACTGTTTTACTACTACTACTCTACTGTTTTACTACTACCACTATACTGTTTTATTTACTACTAACTCTACTGTTTTACTACTACTACTCTACTGTTTTACTACTACCACTATACTGTTTTACTACTACTACTCTACTGTTTTACTACTACTACTCTACTGTTTTACTACTACTACTACTCTACTGTTTTACTACTACCACTATACTGTTTTACTACTACTACTCTACTGTTTTACTACTACTACTCTACTGTTTTACTACTACTACTCTGTTTTACTACTACTACTACTCTACTGTTTTACTACTACCACTATACTGTTTTACTACTACTACTCTACTGTTTTACTACTACTACTACTCTACTTTTTTTACTACTACCACTATACTGTTTTACTACTACTAACTTACTGTTTACTACTACTACTCTACTGTTTTACTACTACTACTCTACCATTTTACTACTACCACTATACTGTTTTACTACTACTACTCTACTGTTTTACTACTACTACTATACTGTTTTACTACTACTACTCTACCATTTTACTACTACCACTATACTGTTTTACTACTACTACTCTACTGTTTTACTACTACTACTCTACTGTTTTACTACTACTACTCTACTGTTTTACTACTACTACTCTACCATTTTACTACTACCACTATACTGTTTTACTACTACCACTATACTGTTTTACTACTACTACTCTACTGTTTTACTACTACTACTCTACTGTTTTACTACTACTACTCTACTGTTTTACTACTCCCACTATACTGTTTACTACTACTACTCTACTGTTTTACTACTACTACTCTACTGTTTTACTACTACCACTATACTGTTTTACTACTACTACTCTACTGTTTTACTACTACTACTCTACTGTTTTACTACTACCACTATACTGTTTTACTACTACTACTCTACTGTTTTACTACTACTACTCTACTGTTTTACTACTACCACTATACTGTTTTACTACTACCACTATACTGTTTTACTACTACTACTCTACTGTTTTACTACTACTACTCTACTGTTTTACTACTACTACTCTACTGTTTTACTACTACTACTCTACTGTTTTACTACTACTACTCTACTGTTTTACTACTACTACTCTACTGTTTTACTACTACTACTCTACTGTTTTACTACTAATACTCTACTGTTTTACTACTACTACTCTACTGTTTTACTACTACTACTCTACTGTTTTACTACTACTACTCTACTGTTTTACTACTACTACTCTACTGTTTTACTACTATACTGTTTTACTACTACTACTCTACTGTTTTACTACTATACTGTTTTACTACTACTACTCTACTGTTTTACTACTACTACTCTACTGTTTTACTACTACTACTCTACTGTTTTACTACTACTACTCTACTGTTTACTTACTATACTTTTTTAAACTACTACTACTCTACTGTTTTACTACTACTACTCTACTGTTTTACTACTACTACTCTACTGTTTTACTACTACCACTATACTGTTTTACTACTACCACTATACTGTTTTACTACTACCACTATACTGTTTTACTACTACCACTATACTGTTTTACTACTACCACTATACTGTTCTATTAATATTACTATACTGTTCTGCTAATACTACTATACTGTTCTACTAATACTACTATACTGTTTTACTACTACTGTTCTGTTCTGCTATTACTACTATACTGTTCTACTAATACTACTATACTATTTTAGTTCTACTAATATTGTACTACTACTACTATACTCTTCTACTACTATACTGTTTTACTACTGCTGCTGTACTATTTTACAATTACTATTATATTGTTTTACTTCTACTACAGTACTCTTCTACTATACTGTTTTACTACTACTACTACTATACTCTTTTACTACTACTACTATACTCTTTTACTACTACTACTACTATATTCTTCCACTACTAGTACTATACTGTTCTACTATTGCAACATTATGACAATTACAAAAAAGTTTTAACCAGTGTGGGTTATTCATTGCTATAGGAAAGTCTAATGAAGGCTGTGGTTATTATTATACAGTTTTCATGACATGACAGCATATGCCCAGAATAGTTCAAAAAGCATTGAACCATATGTAATCTTATAAAATATGATGGACATGAAAAGTTAGACAAAAATGCATCAGAAGAGAGAGAAATTGAAAAGAAATGATGATATTTATCACCATCTACAAAGCTGACATGACTATAGTTAATATTTTCCTTCCCTTCTCTAGGGAGTTTGTGTTACCATGGTTATCAAGCCGCTGCCAGGATGGTGTATCAACTCGGCGCAGAAAGAGACCATAGAATTTTGTCCTGAGATGGATAAAGCAAGATTTTACTTGTTCGACCTTTTTTTTTTTTTTTTAAACTTCTTACTTCCTTCAAAATAACATTTATTTTTCAATTCACAATATAGAGTAACAAACTCTATACAGTAAGATAATATACATAATGTAATACATTTTTTATAAGATTTGTATAACCAGTTATCACATGGCTATATACAAATTATTAAGTGACTCATATTGTGTCTTAACTTGTGAATACTAAGTCAAGTGAGGTAATCTGTATGTCATTTTTTAAAAATACTAATCTTCATTTTTCTCTAAGTTAGCATTTTGTTCTTCCCAGTATGAGTGATTTTTAAACACAACCACAGCAGACAATCTGTTTAGTCATATGAGGTTCAGGAATGTAATGCAAGGTCTGAGCTGAGCTAGTCATTTACAGACAGGTCAAGCACCTGATTCTCAGACTTTGGCATCACATTGTACAGTAGTGTCCAAATTTATTCATCCCCTCATGATGAACAACTGAAGTTAACATTGGGCACCTTTTGATACACATACAATAAAAAGTAGAAACCCTGCATGACTATTTGAATTAATAAAATATCAACAGTGTTTAATTGCTGGAGTATGAAATTAAATGGAAAATGTGCATTTAACCCGTAAACGGTCCAAGTAGATCTACGTTCACATGTGTAGTGCTACAAAAGTAGATCTAAGTTTTTTTTACATATTTTCAAATATAACAAAAAAAAAAGTTGATCAAAGTTTTTTTACACATTTTCAAATGTAGAAAACAAAAAGATCTACTTTTTTACATACTTTCAAATGTTGAAAAAAACGTATATATACTTTTGGACCGTTTACGGGTTAATATAGAATATGCAACTTTTTTTGGCAAAATATGCTGTTGATAAATATGACATAGTTGTGCAGACATCTACTTCATGTATCTGAAGGTAATAAATGTACACTTGCATGTTCTTGCTAAATCATCTGTTAGTTGCACAGTAAAACATGAATTTTGAATTTTATGAATAGGAAATTTTGCACATAATGTACAGTGTTTTTCATATTCAGCAATTATTTTATATAACTTTACGTAGAAAACTTTGTGGTTATTTTTGTTGTTGTTATTTTATCAGTACACTAATTTTCTGCATATGTTCAGGTGTTTCAAAGCAATTTGAACATACCTCACTTCTGGCTAGCCCCGTTAGTAGGGGTTATTCTTCACAGGGTCTACAAAAACACTTGATAACTTAATTTTTTATTTTTATTAATTTTCTTTCATTTTTAATGTTACATGGCGATCTAGTTTGAATGTGTATATTTGTATTATAGAATTGTTTTGAACAAGCAGTATAATACCAAATTATTTTTTGCAACACTTAACTGTATATAATACAAAAAATTACATGCTCAGAACTTTAATTTCAAAGATAAATTATGCATATTTTACTTTAATGCTATTTCCCATGTCCTATTTTTCCACATGCTTCACTGGAGAGTACAATTGTTATAAGGAATTTTAAAGACTAAATTTCTTGTTAAACTAGGGTAGAAAATAAAACAGTATTGCATCAGTTTGAATATGTTAATATTCCACTATTCGTTAGTCCTCTATTATATAAAAACTTAATTTTTACCCTGAACCCTTTCAGGGTTTCGGCTGTACTAGTACGGCTTACGACCCAGGGTTTTTGACGTACTAGTACGCCTAAATTCTAGCGCCCTCAAATCTAGTGAGAGAAAGCTGGTAGGCCTACATATGAAAGAATGGGTCTATGTGGTCAGTGTGTGCAGTATCAAAAAAATCCTGCAACAAGCAGTGCGTAATGAGAAAAAAAAAACCTAGACCGTGTTTTTGGATTAACCCCTTCAGGGTCCAAGGCCAAAATCTGAAGTGGTGCTCCAGTGTCCAAGAAATTTTGAAAAAAAAAAAAAAAATGATTTTATCTTCCAGAATTAAAGAGCATATTTTTGTGAAGGTAATAAGACAAAGAAAAAAAATTCTGATCAGTACTTACCGAGATACAGTGCCAAGAAGTTTGTCAAAAATGATGTGGTGGCGGCAACATTGACGAATTCCACATACGCACGTTACATTATTTAGCGGTTTTTATAGTTTTTTCTTTTCTTTTCCAATTTTTTTCTATTCCTACTAACATTTGGGGCCTGAGAGACCAATACTGTATATAATGTATATATATAAACTCACTGTATTGAACACAATAACCGCACTAAAGTTATTATCATATTATTGTTTACCACTGTTGTCTATTACAATAAACATGCACAAATCTTGTATAATACTAATATTCTATCATATATTTACATATTTACAATCACTGGACATGGTTTTTAGAACTGCTGGAGCTTGTGGAACTCCTTGAAACAAGCACCATGCAGAGAGGCACCTTACATTCCTCACACATAAACCGAGTGTCTTTGCGTCTTTGTTGCCGTCGTTTTGTTTGTGCACAGACGATGCATCTCTTCTGAGCAAATTTCTTAAAAGTTGAAGGAAGCTGTATGTATTATGAAATGATCACCTTCCCTCCTCAAACGCTTGGGTATATCCTGAGTAATTCGAGGGCCTTGTTGTATAGCAGGTGTTGTTACCTGGTACTTTTTTATGAGTTGTCTGACAACAGACAAACAAAATTCACCATACGGTGGTCTGTTGCCAGTCTTTATTTGGTACATATTATATGCATTGAGCATTGAAATGTCCACGAGATGGAAGAAAAGTTTTATGTACCACTTGTAACTCTTACGAACACAGTCAACAAAACCAATCTGCATGTCACATTTGTCAACCAAGCGCATGTTTTGTGTATAATCAATCACTGTCACTGGTTTTCGAATACGTTCATTAGTCACTCGATCAACTTTGCCACTGTCTTGCATTTCATTACGGTGAATGGTTGTCAACAATGTGACATCTCGTTTGTCATGCCATGATGTCATTGGCAGTAAACACCTGCACTTCATCACCACGAGCACCTGCGTTGAGCCTGGGCATATGTTTACGATTAGACGGCACTGTGCCACACACATCTGTCTTGTTCACTCGCATGAAATCACTGAGTAATGGGCTTGTGTACCAGTTATCGGTATATAATGTATGCCCCTTACCAAGATAAGGTGCCATCATGTTTCTCACTACGTCACGTGAGATACCCAATAACATCTTGGTATCTTTCAATGTTTTACTTCCCGTGTATACAACAATATCCAACACCAGGCCACTGTCACAGTCACAGAGTACAAGCAGTTTTATACTAAAGTGTTTCCTCTTGCTCGGTATATACTGCTTGAATGACAGTCTACCTTTGAACAAAATCAAAGACTCGTCAATTACAAGATTCTTGAATGGATTAAAGTATATGCTGAACCTTTGTTTGAGATACATGAAAACATTTCTAATCTTGTATAACCTGTCACTTCTGTCAGGCCTGGTTTTGTCAGAGAAGTGCAACATATGTAAGAGTAAGATAAACCTGTTCACTGGTATGATTTCACTGAAGACCGGGGTAGAAATTAGCCGATCTGTGGACCAGTATGCTTTTATATTATGCTTATAGACATGAGGCATAAGCATTATTGTTGCAAAAAGCAAATACATTTCTGCAACAGTCATCTCTTTCCACCTGTGTAGTCTTGACTGTGGATGATAAGATCGTATTTGCCATGGTGTAACCAAAATACTTATTACTTTCCCTGACAATAGTTTCCATCAATGGCTGATCAAAGAATAATTCAAAGAATTCCAGTTCATTGGCCATGGTTCCAAGGGGACAAGTAGGTAGAATTCCACTTTGAGAGTCATCAAAGTGGTGAGGCTTGGGAACAAAATTGGGATTTTGCTGCCAATCCCACATAAGGTTTGCTGGTGGATACTGGACATCATAGGCTGGTTGTGCGGGTGGTTGTGGTGGGCTGGTGGCTGACGCTCCGCTTTGTCCTTGAACTGACGAGTCAGCAGCGTGGGTTCCACCCTGGGCTGGTGAGTCACGCATGGCGGTGCCACTATCATCACCACTAACACCATCCACTGATGCCTGTGGTCTATCCATGCCAAGTGTAGCCACATCATCCTCACTATCACTACCTAAAACTGGTGTAGGGCCACGGGATGTACTCCGGAATGTACTCCGTCCCCTGGGCACAGCATAGGGTACACTACCCGAGCGCATGCGGCGGTGAACATACCGACGCTTCACTGGTGAATATGATTCCTCACTATCACTACTCGATCGTCGAGCGCAATAAAATCACAATCCACGTCACTATCATCATCATTACTGAAGTCAGAGGCCTGACCACGCAAAAATATTAGTTTTCTCTTGCGTTGAGGAACAACCGACCGTGAGTCACGAGTGCCCACACCAGAGGTAGAAGGTTGAGGATCGTCAGGGTAACCTGCGCTATTATCGATATCTTGGTCATTCTTTTCGGTCACTAACTGATCAAAGCCGTAGAATTCGTCTTCATTTCCACTTCCATCAGTGTCAGAACTATCAGATAGGAAGAGGAGAGTCCCAATTTTCCGGGGAGTGAGAGCTGACTTGCGACGAGGCATGGTGAACAAGGGTAACTGAGCCGGCGTTCCCACAATGCTATGTGGACGCCTAGATTTTTTGTTTATGGCGCACACCCCACACGCAGACCCGTCTCTCACATGTAGGCCTATGAGCGCTTTCGCGCTAAATTTGACGGCGCTAGAATTTTGGCATAGATCTATGGTTTGGACACTCAACGTGAAGCCATAGATCTACGGGACGGACCCTGAAAGGGTTAAAACAACTACTTTGCACTGTATTTTCGTATGGTATTTATTGTTGTATTCTAGTTTTCCTGGTGTCATTCTATAGAATGGAAGACATATTACAGACATTGAGATGATTTTGACTGATTTTACAATGAAAAGTACCTTGAAATTGAGCTCAAAGTAGCAGAAATGTTCGATTTTTACCAAAGTTCAAAAGTAAACAAATCATGCTAAGCGTCCAATACACGTCAACTGGTGAATCTAATATTCTTTCACAAGTGCACCGATATTATTTATACCATTTCTACACTAATGCAGTAGTCTGCATAACAGTAAATCTTCTATTTTTTGTGAGAATAAAAATTCAAAGCGGAAAGCAAAAGAATGTAAGAGGGGCATTGAGGCGTGACTAATGAACAGAGGAAATGTCATTTTAGTGCCAGGAATGTCTTGTTTATTCTGGACCCTATTTGGAAATTGGCATCTTTTGAAATTTGTGTGAA